GCGTTCTAGCAGTGAGCAGGTTACTTACCTGCTTGAGTTTTCTCCCATAGTCAACAAATATACACTGAGTACCTACTGTGTGCTAGAACTGTTATAAATACTGATGATACGGTGGCATTGCTAAAAAGATGGCAGAGAACAAATGTTATGTGTGGTATATTTTAATGATATAACAAATATATATATATATATATTATTTGTATATCCTGGTCTCAGTGGCAGTTCCCAGCTCCAACTTCTGTTTCTCTAGCTCAGGGAAACTAAAAGAGCCCCCAGAACTCTCTGAGTAGCCTCTATACCGATGATGTGAACAGACAAATGCCCTTAGGCTAAAAGCCAAGATGAATGTGGGGCTACCTCAACTACCATCCTTCTCTCCAGCACTGTGGCCACTGCAGTCCTCCTGACTTGGTTGTTCTATTAGGTCTTTAATTTGTTGCTCTGCGTATTTTATCCAGTCTTTGGGTTGGATGGGGCCATGAAAAATGAAACCGTTTTAAGAGATTAGAAGGTGATCAGGGTGGTGGAAGAAAGCACTCTTTTAGATAGTGTAGGTAGGGAAGGCTAGTGTAAGGCAACAATGTTTGAGCCAGGATGTGAGTTATGGGAAGAAATGTGCTGTGCAAATAGTGAGCAGAGGAAGCAAGGCATATTAACAGTTGAGATATTATTCTCAATTCAATGAGGTGCTACTTGAGGGTATCTTTCTTTTAATTTTTTTTGAACAATAGAGTACTATAATCTAATTTACTTTTCAAAAGATTCCACTGAGTGCAGTATGGAGCATGCACAGGGAGGGAGAGAGAGTCATGTCAGAAGGGTATAACTTGAGTCAAAAAACCCAGATGATCCTGGAGGTGAGAAATGAACCAGCTTCTGCTTCTAGTGATGACAGGGTAGTTTATATTAGAGCAACCCTTCTGCCAAGAACAGCTGCAAAGATTGGATAAAATACGCAGAGCAACAAATTTAAGACCTAATAGAACAACCAAGTCAGGAGGACTGCAGTGGCCACAGTGCTGGAGAGAAGGATGGTAGTTGAGGTAGCCCCACATTCATCTTGGCTTTTAGCCTAAGGGCATTTGTCTGTTCACATCATCGGTATAGAGGCTACTCAGAGAGTTCTGGAGGCTCTTTTAGTTTCCCTGAGCTAGAGAAACAGAAGTGGGAGCTGGGAACTGCCAGTGAAACCAGGACTTAAAATATTGAGAGAGCCGCAGACATATGTGTCTGAGGTTAGACATGCAGTTTTTCCTGTGAGCTGTTTGCCAACTCCTAGCTACCTTAAGCACAGAGCAGAAGTTTCATAAACCAAGCTGAAAGCAGCAGGTAGGAGGCGAAAAAAGCTGATTAAAGATTTCACAGTCTTATTCTGGAGACAGAGGTTAGAGTTCAAGGCCAAACCAGTTGGCAGGGCCCTGTAAAATACTCTAGGCTTTTATTTGAGATCCCAGAAAGGCTCCACCTGGGGAGTAAGGGAAATTCAGATGAAGACCAGCCCAAAAAAGGCCTAAAAGTGGTGTCCTTAAATAGTGCAAAGTGATTTTCAAGTACACTCCTTGCCTACTTGAAGAAAAATAAATCTATTCAAAGGAAAGATAGCATTAGTGCAGCTACAAACTTTTATATGCAGTGTACAATATTGGATCAGAAACCACCACACATATCAGGAAACAAGATCAAATGACCAAAACTAAGAAATATAAAAAAGACAATTAGAACAGACCTATGGGAGAGGCAGGTAATGAACTTTTAATAATTGTAGTAGAAAATATAAATAAGGACTAGTAGTACCAGAGAACTGGAGTATATAATAAAGTGTAAACAGAAAACTATAAAATATTAATTCATACCAAACATAGAACCTACACAAAAATTGATCATTGGCTGAGTTACAATTCATCTCTGTGAATTTCAGATTGAAGTAATCTAAAGTGTGTTCTCTAACCACAATGGAATTAAGCTGTAATTAATAACAAAAAGATAACTAGAAAATGCTTAGGTGAGTCAGCATTGAGACGGACTTCTGAATAACTCATGGATGAAAGAAGAAATTACACTTGAAATTGAAAAAATACGTGGAAAGTAGTGAAAATGAAAATATAACATGTAAAAACTTGTGCTTAGAGGAGAATAGGTTTAAATATAGGCTCTCATGTATATGAAAGACTAAAGGCTAAAAATCAGTGATCAAAGTTTTCATCTGAAAAGCTATTAAAAAATAATATACTGAAAAAGAAGGAAAGAAATGAAGAGCAAAAATTGATTTAAATGAAAAAAATGTACACTAGAAGAAAATCAACTAAACAAAAACTTGGTGGTTTTAAAAAGATTAATACAATTGATAAGCTTCTAGCAAGACTATTCATAAAGAGAAAAAGAGAGATTATAAATTACCAGCATCAGGAATAAAGAAGAGGCCAATGAACCCCATAGACCCTACAGGCATTAAAAATTCTAGAAGGATATTATGAATAACTTCATACCTATAAATTTTAAACTTATTAAATGGGCAAATTCTTTGAAAAAAATCATAAAACTAACATAAAAAGGAAGAAAACATCTGAATATCCTGATATCTACTAAAGGAGTTGAATCTGTAGTTGAAGTCTTCCCCTTGCAGGCCCCGTTTTTAATTTATTCTTATGGATTTGTAAGAATTATTTCTATTTCATAAATGAGTCTTTTGTCAGATGCATGTAATGCAGATATCTTTGCCTACTCTGTAATTTGTCTTTTTGTTCTCTTAAATGATTACAGTTCATCCCCTGAAACAGGAGGGAAGGTAGAGTATATAGGCTTTTATTCAATTAGGTTGGTTGGTTTGGTGGTGAGATGTTTCCTATCTTCTTGATTTGTCTATTTTTTTGTTTCTTTGTAGAGATGAGTAGGGATAGTATTGTAACCTAACTCACACAATTCTTGGGAAGATTAAATATCTTTCTTCTTAAAGATTTATTTATTTGAGAGAGAGAACGTGAGCAGGGGGAGGGGTAGAAGAGAGTGAGAATCTCAAGCAGGCTCCCCGATGAGCATGGGGCCCAAACGGGGCTTGATCTTACAACCCTGAGATCCTGACCTGAGCTGGGGTGAAATCAAGAGTTGGACACTTAACTGACTGAGCCACCCAGGCACCCTGGGAAGATTAAATATCCTAATGTATATAAATATTTTAATGTTATCTTAAAACAGGGCCAAGCATATATTAATTACAGCCTTCAGAAGTGTTAACTGCATTTATTTATTTATTTATTTATTTATTTTTCAAAAACTTTCAGTGACAAAGAAATGAATATTTGTGTCCCTGGAGGAAAAAAAAAAAAACCTTAAGTGGTTCACCGTTATCCAACTTTGATAAAGTCTAAAATCTTAAACCTGGTTTTTCGACTTCCCCACTTCATGGCCCCAACATTTATAAGTCTGTTTATCTTCTGTTCTAGTAAAAGTTCTTTTGTTGAAAGAAAAGAAACTGTTAAAATTAGCGCAGTGTATTATTATAATATAATAGAGAATTCCACAAACATCCAAGGACAGGAAATTAAGTACAGCCCAGTTTTGCATGGATTGAAATTAATAAATCAGGAAGCAGGGCTTTCCCCACATTTCTTATCTAGCAATAGCACAGTCTCGTGTGTCTAACTTTCTCTGGAGAGCAACTCTCCCAGCTTCTGCTCTGGTGAAATCTTAGCCTTTTGATTCAAGCTACTACTACCAGCCTCCTTGTCTTTCAAAGGAAATTTCAAGAGAGAAACTTGGGATTGCTGACCAGTGGCTTGCCTCTTCCTTCCTGTTAGGTCAGCTACAGCTAATTGTAGGTTCCTCAAGGCTTATTCTGCAGAAAACAACGGACTGAACACTGTGCAGGCTAAAAGGGGTTTTGAGCTTGATGGGCAAATTGCCATGCTAATCACACCCATATCATTCCTTTATTTCCCAACAGTACTGCTGCTTCTAGTTGGTCAGGTTTTACCACTGTCTATAGATTGACTGCTTTTTGATCCTTCCTACCCGGAAGTTTGGTGAATTCACTAAAGTTGTAGATATTTCTAAAGAATGCTTTTTTTCTCCATATGGGTAGTCAACCATCATATATATTGATTAGTGTCACCTTTATTCTCAACTGTCATTGCAGTGTTTTGATTCTCTGTCTCATTGATCTTCATGGATTTTCTGGAGATTTGTGGGAGGGCTGAGTGAAAATGAAAGTAATCGAATTAAAAAATTCTCATTACAAATATGACCTCTTATTTTCTTTCATTCTAAACAAAGAGTCCAGGAGAAATGCTTTGGATTATTAAAAAAAATAAATAACTGGCTGTTCTCAACTATTGAATGATATTACCCCTTTCAAAAATAAAATAAAATTATTCACATTTAGTCAGAATTGTCTTTTTCTGTGATTTTCTGCTAGAAATTGGTTCTGAGTAATTTTGCTGTGCGTTTTTTTTTTTTTTGGCTTAATATTCAGTAATAGTTTTTAGAATGTCCTGGGTGCAAACTCGGTAATTCATGATTTTGGATGCATGATAAATAATGAAATTTGGTTCATTATTAGTTATCTAAAACCTCCCTCTGGAAGGATAGGTGGGAAATTTTCTTAAACAAGTGGTGTGACAGTGATATCTTTTTTAAAAGAGAATAGACTCTGTTCATGTTTTATAAGGAGACTCATTTTAATTAGCATGTTGATTTGGGCATTGAGGCAGAGAGTTATGAAAAGAAGTCTCTGATCCAATATTAATAGTTATGTCCCTTCAGAGGATAGAAAGTTAGTATGATATACTGTATCCTATATCTCTAGAGAACAAAGGTATACTATATGTAATCAAAATTTACCCATTCTTACCTACTTAAATATTTTTTAGCCTTTATCAAATGTATATTTTGACTGAGTTGTTCTTTACATATTAAAATGCTTATATTTTTGATGACTCACTGGGCAAAATATATTTTTAACTTGTAATTATTTTTCACATTTGATTCTTTCTTCTTCCTTTTAGGGTAGAGCCTGGATCAGAGTAGCACTCATGGAAAAACATTTATCTGAATACATCTCTACAGCTCTGAGAGACTTCAAAACAACCAGGTTTAAACATCCTTTTGATTTTCAAATATGTATTTAAAACAATCACCTAAAGATTAGAAATAAAAATAGAACGAAGATTAATTCCCTTCTAAAGTCTTCAACTATTTTATTTCGTCTTTTTTGTACTGTTCAGGTAAATCCACTATCTTCTCAGGAAAATGCCATTCGTCAGCTAAACAGACATCTACTTTGGTTTATCTTTTGAGGCTTCACATTATGCCTAGAATATCTTTTCTCTGAGTCATTTCTGTTTCTTACACTTTCAATACCTGAAATTTCATTCTTTCCACAGACTTTTCTCTGAGCAGTTAATTTGAAGGAAAATCTAACTATGAAATTTCTATAGCATTCTTACTCTTTCCACATTTTATTTCTTTGTTTTAATTCATATATGTAACTAATGATCGTTCAATTGTCTTTTAGGGCAGGCTATACGAGTGTTGTTTTTCATAGGTTGTATGCACTTAAGAGATGACATGCTGTGCCGTGTGAAAAACAGGACTTTATTATTTTTTTACGGTGGTAGAAAAAAAGATTCATATTAAGATAACAGGCATTCCTATAAAATCCTGGTTGTCTAATCTTTGTTTATAGCTTTTGTTAAAGAAACTGCTTTTCTCCGTTTCAAAAGTATTTGTAAATGAAAATATTCAATAATTTCAATACCTTGAACATGTACTGTTTAACATAGTGGCCACTAACCACATGCCACTCTGTAAATTAATATTCATTAAGAGTAGGTAAAATTACTAAATCACTTCTTCAGTTGCCATATCACATTTCAGGTGTTCAGTAGATATGTGCGGCTAATGGCTACCAAATTGCACAGCACAGATGCATAACCTATTGGACCACACTGCCTTAGACACTTCTAAATTACCATACTGATTTCTACCTCATAAATCATGTTTGTGAAAGAGAAGAAGAGAGTGACAACTATAAACCAGTTTTGATAGAGGAAATTAGGTCCATAGATAAAGAAATCATATATCTGGAAGAATCTTAATTTCCATGTCCTGATGCAATATTTGGCATTTTGGATTTTGAGAAAACCTTGGCATTTATTATGATACATTCTTTTTTTGTTTTGTTTTTTTGTTTGTTTTATTTCCCACTTTACTTAGATATAATTGACATACTGTGTAGGTTTAAGATATACATGTTGGGCGCCTGGGTGGCTCAGTTGGTTAAGCGACTGCCTTCGGCTCAGGTCATGATCCTGGAGTCCCTGGATCGAGTCCCGCATCGGGCTCCCTGCTTGGCAGGGAGTCTGCTTCTCCCTCTGACCCTCCCCTCTCTCATGTGCTCTCTCTCATTCTCTCTCTCTCAAATAAATAAATAAAATCTTTTAAAAAAAAAAAAAAGATATGCATGTTGATTTGATATGCTTATGTACTACAAAATGATTACTGCCATATCATTAACTAACACCTCTATCATGGCACATAATTATTTGATATATAATTATTGAATTCTTTTATAGCAATATTCTTTAGGGATATTTCTAAAGATAGGCAGTGAAAATGATGTTTGAGGTGAACTTAAGGAAATGAAAAATTTGTTTCTTTTATTTATTATCACTAGTAAATAAGTTTAATTATGAAAAATACTAAAAAGGATACTAAGGCTTTGAAAATAATAGTATCAAAATCTCATAGATCAAACATAAAAATCCTAAATTAATGAAATCAAAACGAAGTTTACACAGAAATCATCTCCTGTTCAATAACCAGGCTGCATTAAGGTTATGGTAGTCTTCTGAGTAAAAATTAAAGCATTAGTAATCTTAGTTGTTATTCTTGTTTCTTCGACAGTTGGGTGGGGTAGAAATAATTCTCAAATTATTTTTAGAATGAAAAGTTCAAATATTTAAAGGGAAATGCTTTTTGCCTTGTTCTGAGGTGTTAGCTGTCCTTTTTGAGAAAAAGGAAATGATTCAGGGGCACCTGGGTGGCTCAGCCGTTAAGTGTCTGCCTTCAGCTCGGGTCGTGATCCCAGGGTCCTGGGATCGAGCCCCTCATCGAGCCCCGCATTGAGCATCGCATCGGGCTCCCTGCTCCGCGGGGAGCCTGCTTCTCCCTCTCCCACTCCCCCTCCCACTCCCCCTGCTTGTTTTCCTTCTCTCGCTGTGTCTCTCTCTGTCAAATAAATAAAATCTTTAAAAAAAAAAGGAAATGATTCAGCTCAAAAAAGTCCATCAAGTAAAAATACTTTGTAACAATAAAAGCATACATTATTCAAACAGAAACATGGCTTAGGAAATGTTTATACATACATACATGCAAATATATAATGTTTACATATATACATACACACAGTACTTAAATGTGAATATAATGGCTCTAATTCCCAGGAAAGGAAGTAAGGAGTTATTTCAGAATTCTCATCTTAGAAGTTAACCAAAAAATGCAGTTGCAAAGTCTTCCTTTTTTTGTTTTAAACTATTTATACTGTTTTTTGTTTTTACTGAAATCAAACCAAAGAAACTTCTTGGTTTATAAGTAAACTTGATTGTGAACCTCTAGCCCCAGCATAACTATTATTTGGAAGATTAGGTTTGTAAAATACAAGCAAACTGTTGGAAAGAATAGTTACACCTTACCTTTTGTCTGGATGCTGCCTGATTAAGTGCTTGTAGAACAATGAGAAATGATCTCTGATCCTTTAGGAATCTTGAGAGTTTCTGAATCAAGTAATTTCTTCTTATTCTACTCTTCAAAGATAAAGAGTAATGACTTTTGGTAATACAAGTGTTTACCCCAGTACAGAAGGGGGAGCTACATGGGCTAAGATAGGCAAGCTTGAAAATACTAATCAGTGGAAATCCAAGGATAAGATTGGGTGGAGGAAGTATGGGGATGAGAAATACAGTAAATCCTCTGGTAGGAGTACATCACATGGCTCCAGAGTATTAGAGACATCCAAGTAATTTTTTTTTTTTCCCTAAGGTGGGGGATGTCTTAGTGAGCAATTGAAAACAACCCTTGCAGAGTTTCATGGTTTAGGGATTGAGGTGTTAACTGGGAAATAGCCAGAGTTGGGAGGTTGGTGGATTTGAGATTAGAATCCAAGCTTAAAAAAAAAAAAAAAGTGGGTAATTGTTTTGGTAGTTTACTGGGAAGACTGAGAAATAGAGAGTAATATAAGGTAGGTAAGGGAGAAACTGAATTAATTTGCTCTGAGTTTTAATTTCTCCCCACCCACAGACTGAAAAATAATTAGAAAAGTTTAAGATTTCAAAAAATCTTGAAACAAGATTGAAAACATTCTGATAAGAATTTGAAGTAGCAAATATGGAAAATGTAAAGAGATGAAATTAGTTTTATGGAGACCTACTTAATACTTTAAAATTGTACCACAGTACTTAATTTATAATGACAAAAGTTGTGCTCAGAAGAAATATCAATTTTCTTGATATTATAGTAGGACTAAGAAAAGGAAGGAGTAAAGTATAAAATAAAACTTCAGAAATTACTGAGCTCTCACAAAGTGAAAAAGGAGTTGATAAATACTTTTCTCACTTACAGAAAAGTAGATAGTGAACAATATAACATGTCTTTCAAGAGCTAAGAAGGACTTCTGGAATCTGAATCTGTTTAGAAGTTTTACATTATTAAGATGAAAACCATTAGTAAAAGTTGCTTGTATACTGCTGCCTCATAGCATATACAGAAATTACTGGAAATGGATCAGACTTACATGGAAAACTCTTAGAAGAAAACATAAATGTAAATCTTCATGGCCTTGGATTAAGAATAGTTTCCTGGGGGCGCCTGGGTGGCTCAGTTGGTTAAGCGACTGCCTTCGGCTCAGGTCATGATCCCAGGGTCCTGGGATCGAGTCCCG